TATATATATATATATGTATATATGCATATATACATAGATATACATATATATATATAGAGATGAATGCTCGTACAGGATATTGTATTTAAAAAATCGAAACGAACGGGCAATCTCAATCCTTAAGGTACAACGCGAAGTGTTCAACATCTTTCACTATCTTGATATCTAATTCAGATACATCTCTTGCTTGGACATATGGGGTTTAGGGTTCATATGGCACAGCATGGCTACGGTGCTGTACGAAGCATGCATGTACCCAACACGCGTGTACTACCACATTTACAGTCGAGATGCAGAGAGTAAAATGTATCAATCGAAGTATGGAGGAAACCCAACCTCATAGTCAGTGTAGGGCTTAAGTCGACCGACTCTTGACCTTTCCATCCGAACACATAATACGGATAACACTTTGGCGCTACTAGTTGGCATGGGGCGACTCGTACCTACTCAGCCACGAGTGTCACACGGAGGCAAGCATGCGCATTTGGCGAAGCAAAGCTCTCTCCTATCATAGACGTGTCTGTATAACCTACTTTCATAGATGTGTCTGTATAATCTACTTTCATAGATGTATCTCTATAACCTACTATGGTAGATGCGTCTATATAACCTCCAGTCATAGATGTGTCTGTATAGCCGTGTATCCACTACCAGATCACATAGGCCACACATGCACTTGTACACAGTCTGCTGCACGGACGAGCACCCAGTGCGATACCACACTAGCAAGACATATACACTAGCCCAAAACAACCAGGACATAGCGCTTACCTGGGAGATATTTATTTTTAAAATTGATGACACAAACAAGTACTATTGTGCCATCATGCCAGGTACCTTACCTTATCAAACGCAGGCTTTGAAGCGGCAGCAGGCACCTTTGTGGCCTCGGGGGGGACTGTTTTGGCCTCGGATTCTGGGACACCCTGAGAGCCCAGAGTGGACGCAGCACCGCCTGCTGGGGCAGCCTTAGTAACTCCTAGTGCAGTCAGTCCAGTTTGGGTGCCTAGGCCACCAATACCGAACCCTTTTGGACCTAATTAGGTCAGTGGAATGGGATTGGAGAGATAAGTAAAGGGAAACAAGAAGTGTACTTCAGAGGTTCTGGGTTGGCAATGATGTGTGTGCCATTCAGGTGACACAGAATAGGCATGTTTCAAAAAAAAGAAAGAGGGATAGAATGCGCACCAAGCTATTGTGAAAGAAAATTACTATTTGATGTCAAACATCTTGTTTCAGGCCGTTGTCATTTCAGGCATGGGCCTATCAGGATATTTGTGGTCATACTTCGGTATGGATGTTATTCAGGCAACGATCAGTGTGCGGTATGAGTTTGATTCATGCAACATTCAGTGCATTTGTGATCATACTTCGGTATAGGTTTTATTCATGCAAAGATCAGTGTGTTTGCCCCGTGCTTGCGTGAAGCAGAAAGGAGCCCACATACAAACGATAGCGCGTAGTTTTGTTTGAGTCGGAGGTTAAGATAAGCTATTATCAATACTCAAGGAGAGCCGAGAGACGAGGGGAAAGTGTAGAATCTTGGTGAGCTCACCCGAATCTGTTAGAATGAATAACAGTTCTGTACTTCTTTAATCGGACACTATGAGACCATTCTCTTGAGCCTTTGCGTTTGGGTCTGATTCTCTTGAGCCTTTGCGTTTGGGTCTGATACTCTTGAGCCTTTGCGTTTGGGTCTGATACTCGGTCATAGTCTTTAAAGCGTGTGGAAATGGACGGTACAAACCATAATACTAGTACAAATTGATCGTAAAACAGTATTGAAGTACGCATTGTGGTAGAGACCCTATGTTTATATACATACATTCTTGTACTTTTTCGAACTACGTGCGTGTTTCGCGTGTAACCTTGCAGGTCTCGTTTACATACTCTGTCGAATAACAGCATGTCACCTACATGTGCAAATGAGCTAGCACAACCAGCACGAATATCGCTTACCGAAATCCTTAGCGTAGCAAGATGCGCAGAAGATCTCTTCCTTGTTGTCACACACTGTGGTACTGCTTACAAATTTCTTGCACACAGAACAAGAGAAGCAACGTTTGTGGAACTTTTGACCCATCGCCTGCACTTCTTCGGCAGAGTACACCTGTTTGTTTAAGTTGTTTATGTATTGTTTACATTCGTAAAAACGACTTCGATTGATTTGTAATACACGCACGCAAGTGTACATACAAGTACATCTATGAGATTTTCTACCCCATGTGAATACATACGATTGGGCACCTCTAACCTTTAGAGAGCATTGCACAAACACTTAGTTCAAATACAGACACTCAGTTGAGCCATAAACATAGCAGTCCACTTTTTGACCTACAAAAGAAAACTTATTTCAGTCACATTCAGATATAAAATACAAATTCATTCA